CGTTGCTGCTCTCTCTGGGTTCGTTAAGAGGTGTCGTAAGCTGGTTCTGGTGCCATCCAGGGCTCCTGCTTCCCACTCTGGAATGGGAATTCCCCCTGCAGGGAAGAGTTAAAACTAAGGGTGCGAATCGCCACCTCTTTGGGACGGGGGTGCTTTAAGGGGTCCCCTGTGTTGTAGAAGCCAAACCCCCTCTCCCAAGGCACATTCCAGGGCGTTTTCCAGCCTTCCTGGCGCGGGTAGACGTGAACCTCTTGTCCCAGTGCAGGTGTGGGAAGGGCGCTGGCGGGTGATCCCCTACGATGTGCTGCCCGACTGGCTGAAGGACAACGATTACCTCCTGCACGGGCACCGCCCGCCCATGCCCAGCTTCCGCGCCTGCTTCAGGAGCATCTTCCGGATCCACACCGAGACGGGCAACATCTGGACACATCTGTTAGGTGAGGGGGCCAGGGCTGGGCTGGGCTGGTGGCTTTGCCAGTGTTCCACAAGGAGTGGGATGGGGAAAATGGGAAAACCTCGGGAGAGCTTCCCCCTGCAACCACGCTGTGTTCCCTGCAGGCTTCGTCTTGTTCCTCTGCTTGGGAATCCTGACCATGCTGCGGCCCAACATGTATTTCATGGCTCCTCTCCAGGAGAAGGTGGTGTTTGGGATGTTCTTCCTGGGAGCAGTGCTGTGCCTCAGCTTCTCCTGGCTCTTCCACACTGTGAAGGTCTCGCGGACCTTTTCGAAGTGAGTCTGCACCGGTGGTTGTGCGGCCTCATGAGGGGCTTCGGGATCCAACAGCACTTCCCCTTGGGAAGCGCTGCCTTTTATCCCTAGGGAAAGTTCACTGAATCCAGCGTGGAGCTGAGGGGTAACCAGAGCTGGGTCCTGGGGGGCTCTGCCCTGTGCAGGAGCACTTGAAATCATAGAACCATAGAGTGGGTTGGGTTGAAGGGACCTTAAAGCTCCTCCAGCTCCAACCCCTGCCCCGGGCAGGGACACCTTCCACTAGAGCAGGTTGCTCCAAGCCCCTGTGTCCAACCTGGCCAAAAAGGCCAGCCACAGCTTCTCTGGGCACCCTGTGCCAGCACCTCAGCACCCTCACAGGGAAGAGCTTCTGCCTCAGAGCTCATCTCAATCTCCCCCTGGCAGGTTAAAGCCATTCCCCTTGTCCTGTCCCTCCATTCCTTGTCCAAAGCCCCTCTCCAGGTCTCCTGGAGCCCCTTTAGGCACTGGAGCTGCTCTAAGGTGTCCCCTTGAGGAGCCTTCTCTTCTCCAGCTGCCCCAGCCCAGCTCTCTCAGCCTGGCTTCAGAGCAGAGCTGCTCCAGGCCTCTGGAGCTGGCCCTCAGGCAGACGATGAACCCCAGGACCCTTGTGTCCCCCGTAGCAGCAAACAGGGCTCTCGGGCCCTCTGGGCACTGATGGGACGTGACCATTTGGTGCTTTCCAGTTTACTGGATGCTTTTAAATCTCTGGTTTGGATCCAATTTGGACTGAAACCAAATGGAGAGGAACAAACCAAAGGGGTTCCCGGCAGTGGCCAGGGCCCCTCCCCGGGGACACTGAGGGCTGCTCTTGGAGTTCAGCTCACACGAGCCCTTGTGCACAGGCAGAGTCCGAGGCAGATACTTGGGTGCTGTTTGTGGGCAATCTCCTCTGCACGGACCCCAGTGATCCTGTGGGATCACGGCTCCAGAACACACTGTGCAGCAGGAACATCCTTGTGTGCTGGTGGGGGGGGGTGACACAAGCAGCTCCTGGAAGCACTTTGCCACGGAGTCAGATCCTTGTGGAAGGACTTGGGCCACCTCCTCCTCCCCCTGGACACTCAGCACGAGGCCACAGCGACGCGTTTGGCACCGATGCCGTTAGCACGAGGACACGAGGAGGAGGGTGGGTTTTGGGGCTCCCCTGTGACTCTCTTGTCATTGCTCCCCGGCTGCAGGTTGGATTATTCAGGAATTGCACTGCTGATCATGGGAAGCTTCGTCCCATGGCTCTACTACTCGTTCTACTGCTCCCCACAGCCAAGACTCATCTACCTCTCCATCGTCTGCGTCTTGGGCATCTCTGCCATCATCGTTGCGCAGTGGGACCGCTTCGCCACCCCCAAGCACAGGCAGACCAGAGCAGGTGGGAGCTCCCCCGTCCTCCCCCCACAGCCCCAGCCCCAGGGGGGACTTTGGGAAGGTCCCTCCAGGCAGAGCTCTTGGTGTCTGCGGCATTGGTTCCCCCAGGGCAGCACAGGCCCTGCAGCACCTCCCCCTCTGCTCCTCTGCTGAGCTCTGGAGCAGACACGGCAGCGTTTAAAACCAGCCCCAGAGCAGGGCTTGGGGCTGCGCCACACGAAGCTGCCTTCTCCAGGAAGCACTTTGGCACCATGAACCTGCAGCTCGGGCAGAGCAGGGAGAGATTCCCTCATGTTCCAGCCAGGCACGTGCTGGCACGTCCCTGGAGGCTGCAGGGTGAGGCCACGCTCGGCCTCTGGCACAGCCTCTCCTCAAGGGGAGGGCTCTGGTGGCCACATTCCTCGTGCTTGTGAGGCTTTGGTGTGACCCGAAGGGCTGGCACCTCCTGACAGCACCTCCTGACACCCCACTGTGTGTGGGGAACACCGGGTGAGCTCTGCCCAGTGAGCACGGGGGGTCAGCACTGGTTTTGACTGGGCCGTAGAGCTGCAGACCCCTCATTTTGTGAAGGATAAAGTGGGTAACACAGGACTGAGTGAGGAAAAGCTGCTCCAGGGGCTTCCCGTTGCGGGTGCGAGGTGCTGATCTCTCCTCTCCGCCGCAGGCGTGTTCCTGGGGCTGGGGCTGAGCGGGGTGGTGCCCACCATGCACTTCACCATCGCCGAGGGCTTCGTCAAAGCCACCACCGTGGGCCAGATGGGCTGGTTCTTCCTCATGGCCGTGATGTACATCACGGGCGCGGG